TATGTCATTAGGGACATCATAGCCAATGTTAATAGATCTTGGCTGAAAGTAAAGAGTACCAGAAGAATGTCTATCTGTATTTCATTGATTATGCAAAGGCATTTGACTGTGTAAATCACACAAAATTGTGGTTAACAATGTGAAAAATGGAAATCCCAGAAGACCTAATTGTACCCAGGTGAAACCTATATTTGGACTGAGAGTAAACATCGGAAAAGGGGGTGGGGGACAAAAACAAAACCATGGCATGGTTCAAAATCAGAAAAGGTGTATGCCAGCAATGCATCCTGTCTTTATACCTTTTCAATCTGTATGCAGAACAGATATTTCAGGAGGCTGGATTTTATAAGGAGGAATGTAGCATCAGGATTGGAGGAAGACTCATCATTAACTTCTTTTATGCCAAGAACACCTTATATTTAAGAAAGTAAATGTTTGTATAAATTATTGATCTTCCTTACTGTTCTTATTTTTCATTCATTTTTTTCTATAATTATATTTTATTAATTTTCATAAACATTTTAAATTTTTTATTTTGAGGTTATTGTATGTTTTCTAATAATCTTCAAAGTTTGAGAATACTTTTACTACCAGAAGAATGTCGATCTGTGCTTCATTGACTATGCAAAGGGTTTTGACTGTGTGGATCACAAAAAGCTATGGCTGACTCTGAGAAGAATGGGAATCCCAGAACATTTGATTGTGCTAATGTGAAACCTACACTTGGACCAAGAGGCAGTCGTCAGAACAGAGCAGGGAGACACTGGATGGTTCAAAATCAAGAAAGGGATCTGTCAGGGATGTATTTTGTCTCCATACCTTTTCAATCTATATACAGAACAGATCAACAGTCTTCAATATTGATTGAAGCTCAATATCAAGAAAACAGATTCTCACCACTGGGCCAATTGGTAGCATCAGTATGGATGGTGAAGAGGTTGAGATAGTTAACAGTTTTCGTTTACTTGGTTCCACAGTCAACACTCTTGGTAACAGCAGCCCGGAAATCAGGAGACAAATTGCATTGGGAAAGTCAGCTGTGAGAGACCTCTCAAGAGTACTGAAGTGCAACGACATCAGGCTGGAGACTAAGGTGCACCTGATCCAGGCTGTAGTCTTTTCAATTCCATGCTATGCATCGGAGAGTTGGGCAGTGAATAGAGATGATAGAAAGAGAATTGATGCCTTTGAGTTGTGGTGCTGGAGAAGAGTGTTGAATATACCATTGACTGCTAGGAGAACAAACAGGTTTGTCCTGGAGAGGGTGAAGCCAGAATGTTCCCTGGAGTCAAAGATTCTGAAGCTTCGTCTGACATACTTTGAGCATGTTGCAAGGAGGGACTGGTCCTTAGAGAGGGACACCATGTTTGGGAGAGTGGAGGGACAGCGCAGAAGAGGAAGACCCTTGATGAGATGGATTGATTCTGTGAGTGGAGTGGTGGGAATGAATGTGTTTGAGACAGCAAGGTTGGCACAGGATAGAACGGCATTTAGAGCTCTTGTACATAGGGTCGCTATGAGTCACAAATTACTCTATGGCACATAACAACAACAACAACAACATCAAGATATAGCATACAGAATTTTTAAAATTCTTTTAGATCTTTTCTCTTTAATGGAGTGAGCAAGTTATAAGTGAATGGCCAAGAAACGGTGCTGATCAGTGGGGAAATGTAAGGTGTTTTAAAACGACATCTAGAGCAAAGTTGCTATGTGTCATCAAGTTGACTGCAACTCATAGTGACACTATGAACAATAGATCTGAACTCTGCCCTATCCTGTACCCTCCTCAATATAGTGCAAGGTTGAAATTATGAAGTGGCTAATATGAATAATGGATAAGCAATCAGAGAATGGATCTGTTGAAATAGCGGCAAGGGTATCATAGCCAAAGAGTCTGATTAGAACAGCCAGGAGAGACTCTAAAAAGGAGCAAGGAAAAACAGATTCTGGTGTTTTGTAAATAACTTTAAAATAAATCTTATAGTTATAAGTATGACTTACCAGCCTTTAAAAATATGCTTCTTAAATGATGGCCCTTTAAAAATTTTTATTTAAGATCTAATTTCTTCACAATACAATAAGCCACTTATACAAAACAAAAAGATATTGCTTTTTAAAATTAGGTTTAAATTTGAAAAGTAAGTAAAATTTATTATTTGTTCTGAAGTCCTAGAATATTTTAAATTAAAATATCTTAAATCCTTAATAATTATTTTTGTTATTATTTGAAAAATGTTATTCAAATAAGTATACAAATCTTATGTACTGTTTATAAATATACATAAATATATTACACTCTTAACATTTCTTTGAAATTACTATTATGTTGTTATTATGTACAATGAGTCAGAACTGACCCATCGCTGACCCTCCAGTAGGTTTTCAGAGGATTAAATTGCAAAGGAGTTGATTGTCCATCTTTCTCTCATGTTGCAGCTGGTAATTTGAAGTACATGCCTTTGGATTGGCAGTGCAGCTTCTTATCATTAGGCCACAAAACTCTACTAATATATAACCTCTCAAAAAAGAATGTCACCTTTGTCCTGTAATCTGCTCTTGAAGCATATGTGTAAAGATACACATTACAATCAAAACACAACTTCTAATTTCTATAAACCAAAAACCAATCCCAGTGCTGTAGAGTTGCTTCAACTCATAGTGATTCTATAGAGCAGCATAGAACTGCCCCATTAGATTTCCAAGGCTGTAAATCTTTACAGAAGAAGGCTGCCAGATCTCTGTCATACAGAGACACTAGGGTTAACATCTAACCCTCTAAACACTGAACTATCAGGCTTCTTAGAATGTTCTAAAGGCAATTAATTTCTTGTGAAAGGCCAACGTAATTTTTCAAAATGAGACTGCTGCTAAATTTGGTACATCAAAAGAAATAGACCAAGAAGCAGTTATTCAGACACAAAAAGGGATATTGCATGGCTTAAAATCAAGATATGTATACTTTGGGGTTGTATCCTTTTACCATGCCTATTAAATATATGTGCTGAGCAAATAATTAGAGGATATGAACTATATGAAGAAGAAGATGATGACATCAAGATTGGGGGAACACTCAGCAACAGTCTGTTTTATGCATGTAACACAACTTTGTATACTGAAAAGTGAACAAGACCTGAAGTACTTGCTGAAAAAAATCAGACTTATGCTTTCAGTTTGGAATATATCTTAACATCAAGAAAACAAAAATCCTCAAAACTAGACTAATAAGCAACATCATCATAGATGAGAAAGGATTGAGGTTGTCAGTGATTTCATTTTACTTGAATCCACAATTGACACCATGGTAATAAAAATCAAGAAATCAAAAGATGTGTTACATTGGGCAATTATGCTGTTAAGGACTTTTAAAAAATATTAAAGAGCTAGGATTTCACTTTAAAGACTAAGATGCACCTGCCTTAAGCCATGAGATTTTGTAGTTGCTTTTGAAAGCATGTGAAAGTTTGGCAATAAATAAGGAAGACTGAAAAAGAACTGATGCCTTTGAATTATAGTTCTGGTGAAGGGTAATGAATATACTGTGACTTTTAAAAAAAACCCTAACAAATCTATCTTAAAGAATATGCAACCAGGATGTATATTTTGGGCATTTAAACAGGAGAGATTAGTCCTTGGAAAAAAGCATCATCTTTTGAAATGTGGAAGGTTGGTGAAGGAGAGGCAGACCCTCACTGTGGATTGCACAAAGACTGTAACAGTGGGTTTCAGCATGCTGGAGATTATAAGGATGGTGCAGAATAGAGAGCAGTGCTTTGATCTGTAATTCATATGGTAACTTTGAGTCATAGTTGACTGAATGACACCTAACAACAACAAAAAAGATTGTTTTATTGACTAATAATTACATTTGGCTTGTTAAATAATTTTCATATTCTATCTCCAAAGTAGGTATTGTATCTCTGTATCAATTTTATGATATTTGCACATTGCTTAGTGTTTTTCTAGCTTCCTTTCAAATTATCGTTGTTGTTATGTGCCGTCAAGTTGCTTGCGACCCATAGTGACCCTATGTTCAACAGCCCTAAACCCTGCTCTTGACAATCTTATTGTCTCCGACACACCTATCCCTATTACCTCAGTGATGGAATCAATCCATCTCATAGAGGGCCTTCCCCTCCTGCACTGTCCCTTCACCCTCCCAAGCATGATGTCCCTCCCCCAGAACTGGTCCCTCCTTGCAACATGTCGAAAGTATTTCAGATGAAGCATCAGAATCCTTGCCTCCAAGGAGCAGACTGGCTTCTCCCTCTCCAGGACAAACTTGTTTGTTTCCTAGCAGTCCATCGTATATTCAATACAGCATTACATAAAAATGCATATAAGACTTTTATTTTTTAGAAAATTATTAAATAGAGACTAAAGGGAGGCTAATGATATCTTTATTTTCACTTTATTTCTTAATGAAGGTATATAACTTATCACAAAATGTCCAAGAGGATGATCTTCAGCATCTCCAGGTAATATTTTTAGATTAATTTTTTTATTCTTTTATTCATGTTTGGAGAAAATATATCAAAACTTTGGGATTGATACAGTAACTGGGGTAATGGGGGCATTGGTGTGTCAGAATTAGTGAGACTGGCTCCAGACAGGGCAGGTTTCAGAGCTGCTGTATGTCACCATGGGTCGCAGGCAACTCAACGGCACATAACAACTCTGAAAAATCTAATAATACATAAGGAAATCATTAATAGGAGCTCTCTTACTTCCAAGCTTCTTGTTCTACTATTGCTCTTTCTAATTAAATTTCAAAATCCTTTACTTCGATTTGCTACCAGTACTGTGTATTTGAAAATATGGTAAATCAGAATACAGAAATAATCTTCGAGCAAAAAATGTGACCTCTAAGTTGAAATCTTAATATCAGGGATTTGATAATAGCATCACTAATTGCTGGCTAATCATACTAACAATTATGTAAAGGTTTTTTTCCTATGAACCACTTATAACTATGAGCTATGAGACTGCTAGCTGATAATAGCTCATTGAATTGTATTTAGATCTGAAAGAGACTCCAGTAACAACCTAGTTTATCTTTCACATTTTATGAATTAAGGAATTGAGGTGGAAGGAAATATTATTTGTCAAACTCATACAGGTAGGTAATGGCAGCTGTGTATAAAGCCAGGGTCATTGGAGTGGGCTCAGTGCTGCTTTCACTTTTCATCAGCATTTAAATCTCAAAGAACTAGAAGATTAGATATTTTCCATAGATGAGTCATATCTGTTTAACAATCTCTGCCTCCCCTTCCCCCATACATGTTTGGTTACTTAGATAAAACTTTTGGTTACTTAGATAAAACTTTTTTTTCTCATATGGGTCTTTCTGTATATTTTATAGAAATTTTTACTCTCAGTATATTGATTTATTTTAGTAATCAGCATATCTTGACAGGTAGCAAGATGTATAAGTTTAATGGATGATATAACAGGGTAAGTGTTGAGCAATTGTGACATTCGTGTTCTTGTCCAGTGTTATTCTCTAGTACAGTGTTATTCTCTTGTAAGGCATTACACTGACAGACTGACTAATTTATAGATGTTTCCTTTAAAAAGAAGTAATGATGTAAGAATGTTTAGAGACCACGCCAGGAGTTTCCGGGAAAGGACTAACTCTGGACATTGACTCTGAGTCATCTTTTTTTAAGATTACTTAAAAAAAATATTTGCCTGTAAATAACCACGCTTCAGCTTTCCTCAGGAGAGATTATGAATTCAAGTTATATTAAAAATTATTGTAAAGAGAGTATCTATTAAAACTTTGGACCACACCTGGCTTCTAAGCATGATGTTGAGATTTTCATTTAATCATTCTAATCAGAGGTCTAGTAATAGGTTTTACCATTTGTCAGTAAGACTCTCATAACTCTCTCAGGAGTGGAGGTGTGGTGATGCAGGGGCTATTCTAGAGTAAGGATATTTATCCTCTCTGTATCAGTACTCTTTCCCAGCTCTGAGACGCCCCTAGTTGTCTGTTTCTCTGCAGATATATAGGGAATCCCAAGTGACCAGTGTGGATGAAATTCTCAGCAGAGGCCCAGTCATCCTGTCCGGTCTATTTTTTTTCAAAACCCTCCATCTCTGGCAACATAAAAGCTAAAACCATGATGAAACATGTTCTCAACTGGGAGCAATGAAAAAATAAGAGAAGGCAGTATTTTGGATTTTCCACAGTTTAAACCAAATACACGTATGCTTTTTAATTACCAGGCCATCAAGCCATTAAAGTCCTCTGAAAAAGACTGCTGTAAATATATCCTACATAACTTACAGATTTCTAGTCTAAATCTATGCAAGCTCTCCTTTGAAAGGTTATTTAGCTTAGTCTTTCTTCTTCTCATTCCTCTTCCTTATAGAAATTTGACCCACATCCTAGATAGAAAAGGTGTTAGCTTTAAAGTGAAAACTTAATTTTAAAAATATAATTTATATTCTTAGTTTAAAATTATATATGTATATATATTGCCCTAATTAGTCCAATAATTATTTAAAGTGGTTGTTGTAATCTAAATAATGTAGTATTCTATTGCAACTAGGGAGAAGAATAAACAGAAGAAGAAAACAAAGAAGTGAAACTGAATATACTGAAATTTTCTTTTGCTGTTTTTTTTTGTTTGTGTATGTGTGTCATCTTCCTTGTAGCTTTTCACTGAGTATGGCAGACTGGCAATGGAGGAGACATTCCTGAAGCCATTTCAGGTGAGTGCGGTGAAAATGAACTGTATTTTCATGACAGGTTGACTCTTGACAGAGTCATGTGTTTCTTTATTTTTTAACCTTACTTCATTAAACATCCATGTTTAAATACGTATTTCTGGCTATTTGACACAAGGAGGACATAGAAATGGGGAAAATGAAAAGATATTAAGAAGTTTTAGTTCCTTCAAGAATATCAGCTTTCCCTCCTGGACTCAACCCTGGAAGTCAGAAGGAAATGGGTGGGTTTGTCCAACAAATAAAAGCTAAAATCAGCCAATTAAATAATTCTCCTGAGACAGTGGGTAGAGATTGGTAGCCCCCCAGAATTAGGCAGAACACCACAGACAGTATATTGGCCCCCAGCTAGTGTTTTTAATAGGTGCTATTTTCTCTTTGTGCACCTTTACCTGGCCCACTGCCTCTGAGAATCAGCACAACAAGCAGCCCAGCTCCTTCTAGGGCAGCAGAATAAACGTCAGGACAATATTTAAACTTGGTTTAGGTGATAGAAGCAGTCTGTTTAGGGAGCTCTGGCTCAGTGATAAAAAGTTGTGCTGCCAATCCAAAGGCATACAGTTTGAATCCACCAGCTGCTCTGCAGAAGAAAGATGGGCATTCTCCTCCTGTTTGATTCACGGCCTCTGAAAACTCACTGGAGGGCCAGCTATGGGTCATTTCCGACTCAAAGATACAAAACTCTTTAACGATCTTTTTTTCTTCTACTCTTCTTTATTGCTGGAGAAAAATGGGCAGTCTCCTCCCATACGATGAAAGTGCCTCTCTGAAAACCTGCTGGATGGTCAACTATGGTTCAGTTCCAACTCGATAGTATACAACCACAACAACAACCTTTCTTTATATCCCATAGATAAGGAGCTTATAATTACAACAAATTGTCCTTAAAAACAGCTTTGGGGAAAAGTCAAAGAACCCTGTTGGTATAGTGAATAATATACTGAACTCTTAACTGAAAGGCTGATATTTAAAACTTACCAGCTGCTCCTTGAAAGAAAGGTAGGCAGTCACCTCCCATAAAGATTTATAGCCTAGAAACCAGGCAGTAGGCCCATATGTCTTGGCCTTGAATCCACAGTAGTGGGTTTTCAGTGGAGAAGGCAGAGTTTTAAATATCAAAGACTGACCACCATAGCACAGTTATTTCCACCAAATCTTATTAGGTGGAGCCCAAGGTAAGTCCTCAAATTTAGCTTCTACCCTCAAATATATATCACTAAACATGATGGCTCATACTCTGTTGATATTGTTGTTAAATGCCATTGAATCAAGTACAACTCACAGTGACCCTATGAACAACAGACCTGAACCTTATTCTATCCTGTCCCTTTCTCACAATCTCTGACACTCTCAAGCCCATTGCAGCAGTCACTTTGCCAGACCACTTGGTTGAAGGTTTTCCTCTCTTTCACCATCCCTACACCTTCCCAAGCATGATGTCCCTCTTTAAGGAATAACCTTTCCTAGCAACAAGCTCAAAGTATATGAGAGCAAGCATTATCATCTTTGCCTCCAAGGAGCACTCTGGCTGTACTTCTCCAAGACACAGCTGTTTGTTCTTTTAGCAGACCATTGGACATTCAGCATTCTTCTTCAAAACCACAGTTCAAAGACATCAGTTCTTCTTCTGTCATCCTTAGTCATCGTCCAGCTCTCAAATGCATAGCAAGTGATTTTGTATGGTCAATGATTTATTCATGGCAAATACTTTTTTCAAAAATACAAATAACAACTTTACACTTGGACCTTACCAGATAAACTGCATAGGAATCATATTGACTACATATGTGGGAGACCAGATGCTGACTGTGGAACAGACTACTAATTACTCATGTCAAGTTCAAACTGTAGCTGAAAAAAATTAAAACAAGTCCACAAAACCCAAAATATGATCTTAAGTCTATCCCACCTGAATTTAAAAATCAACTTAAGAACATTGAACACCAGTGATCAAAGACCAAATGAGAGGTGAGATGACATTAAGGATGTCATCTGTGATAAGAGTAAAAGGTCGCTCATGCTCCTAGAACAATGTAAATATCCAGGGAAACTGAAAAATTAATACATAATAATTGATAGATTATATGACAAATTATTTATAATGAGCTTTATTACTTATTTATTGCTCCATAACAAATTACCTCAAAACCATTGTTCTTGTTGTTGTTGTTATGTGCCATCGAGTCATTTACGACTCATAACGACCCTATGTACAGGAGCCCTAAATGCCGTTCTATCCTGTGCCAACCTTGCTGTCTCAAACACA